TGGCTCCGCTCTGGGCACCGGGGGCTCCCTCCCCCCTCCGCAGTGTCTCGTGTTTATAACCCGGGTCACCCAAAACCGCGGGGATGGGCGCTTGGGGGAGCTTTCGGCTGCTTAAAAATAGGCGCGTTGCTGCTCCTTGGCCCCCGCCCTCCCGGCCACGGTGATGAGCTGCATCGCAACACCCCCTCCAGCGCTGCCACTCTCCGAAAGGCGCAGGGCAGTGGCGGGCACGACAGAGCAAACTGGGGAGGGGTGATCCCTGCATTCGGGTGCCTTCAGGTGGCCTGATTGTGTGTGTGTGTGTGTGTGTACGGGGGGATGTGGGTCTAGATCCCAGCAGCCTCCGCCCCGGGGTAGCTGTGACGAGCCGCGCACGGGCAGGCAATGTGTTCTCTCTCTCTCACGCTCCACAGGAGATTCCTCGCTCCCCTCGCGCTCTCCTGCGAGTTGAACTGGCAACCTGGGAGGGAGCCTGAGGCTGTGAGAGAGAAAGAGGCGGCTGCCCCCGGCTGTGTCTGCACTTCAGCTTCACTCTTAACCTAGCACCAACGTGGCGGGAGGCTGGCTCCCCAGGGAAGTGGGTGAGAGATGTGATGTCATCTAAAAACACCGCTGCTGGCGCGGGGCCTATTGAAGCGCGGGGCCTGGGGCAGCCGCCCCGCTCGCCCTGCCCTATGTGACAGACCAGGCCGTGTCTGGGCACAGCTTAGGGCGTCCGCTCAGGGCGAATTGCTCAAATCCGGGGCTCCTTACAGCCCCCAGACTGGTGACCTCTCCAAACAGGCCACAAACCAGTCCCACAGAGCGCTTCAGCAGCCTGCCAGAAGCCTTACGAGCAAAACCCCTCTGACACCCCAGCAATATCCGTGCCCCAGATGGCCCCGGGCCTATACACAGGTGGGGGGTCCTAGCACCCAATCCCACCTACCCCGAACAAGTTCTGTCCGGTTCCAAGAAACCAGCCACAGATCCCTGGTCAATTTACCCTCTGGACCTTACCCACAAATCACGCTGGGCCAATCCTTTAGAATCTATATCTAAAGGTTTATTATTACAAGAAAGAAAAGCCTGAGAGTAAGGTTATTAAAGTACAGTACGTTACATGCACCGAATCTCCCAGTTCTCGATGCAGGCTCTAGCAGAGATGTTGCAGCTGCTGGTTTAAAAGTTATTATTGCACATCCTACGATCAGGATGGGTTCACAGGTCTTCCGGGCTCTTCAATCCCTGCAGTGCTGCCTCTGGGATGAAGTGCTGAGCTGAGAACAAAATGGCATCGACCACATGGCCTCTTTATACTCCTTCCTGGCCTCTTCTTGCATGCAGCAGGTCACCTGGTCAGAGGCCCATCTCTGTGTTTCCTGCTGGCTGCTCTCAGGTGACAGCCCCCATTCTTTGGGTGTGTCCTTGGCCCATCAAATGCCATTGTCGCACAGGGCCTGGCTAATCAGCCTGTCCATAGCAATGCTTAACCACATTCAGAGAAATATTCAGCTTCCACACAGATTACAGATTCCTACCTACACACACAGACATTATACACTCACATAAATAGCGCACAATAGATCAGCAAACAATAAGTTCCCATTCAATACCCCAAATGGCTCCCTTTTATACCAATTTCTGGGGCCAACACCCCCACCTAGGGGTGCAGCAGCGATCTGGCTGCTTCCCTCCAATTCGGTAATGTGACACTGCCGCTGCCTAATATCCAACCTAGACCTTCCCCACTGCAACTTGAGCCCGTTGCTCCTCGTTCTGCCATCTGCCCCCACTGTTAACAGCCTCTCTCCAGCCTCTTTGGAACCCCCCTGCAGAGAGTTGCAGGCTGCTCTCAAATCCCCCTCACTCTTCTCTTCTGCAGACTAAACAAGCCCAAATCACTCAGCCGCCCCTCGTAGGTCATGTGCTCCAGCCCACGAATCATTTTGGTTGCCCTCCGCTGGACCCTCTCCAATGTGTCCACATCCTTTCTATAGTGGGGGGCCCAGAACTGGACGCAGTGCTCCAGGTGTGGCCTCCCCAGTGCTGAATAAAGGGGAATAGCATGCAGCCAGGTGGGTCACAAATCTCCCAGCCCAGCCACAGGGAGTCACACTGGGGAGCGAGTATTCCCTGTTACATGCTGCAAGGAGCCCGTTACATGCGGTGGGCATGCCAAGGTACATGCAGTGAGTGTAACATGCTACATGCAGTGGGCATGGCCTGTTACATGCAGCTAGCGTATCTTATTACATGCAGTGGGTGCACCCTGTTACATGCAGTGGGCATACCCTGTTACATGCAGTGGGCATACCCTGTTACATGCAGTGGGCGTACCCTGTTACAGGCAGTGGGCATACCCTGTTACAGGCAGTGGGTGTACCCTGCTACATGCACATTTTGCCTTTGATCTCTTTTATCTGTATAAATTATTGTTGCTGGGAAGTGGCTCTGGTGATCAAATGCCTGGACATGATGCAGCTGGCAAGGTCCACACGCCAGCAGAGGTCATAGGCATTGGGATAGACCTTTCGAACCTGGGACTGTAGCTATTCAGATATGTGAGGTGATGGGCACTGTAATTTCAAATGGGCATGGGGGAGGGGTGATAAATTGCCAGTAACGCTCGGTGCCCACGTTCATCTTTTAAAATCGGGTCCCTAACTCCCACTGCAGTCAAAGCACATCAGAGAATCCCACCAGGCGCTTCAAGGCCTTTGCAAACATCTCCCTGAGCGACTTGCTCAAGGTCACACCTGAAGGCTCTGGTGGTGCCAGGAACCAGACCCCCCTCTTCAACAAGCCAACCCAGGGCCCTGCCCGATGGGCCAGGGAAGGGGATGTGCCACCAGGGCTTGGGAAGCGCTGCCCTCAGTGGTGTGCCAACCTCAGCCTCGGTTTCCACCCAGGAGCTTCCTAAAGGCGTCCTTCACCTCCTTGTTGCGCAGGCTGTAGAGGAGGGGGTTGATGAGGGGCGTGACCATGGTGTACAAGGTGGCCACAGCTTTGTCCCGGTCCAGGTAGGCGGAGGGGGGCCGGACGTAGGTGTAGAACACCGTGCTGTAAAAGAGAGTCACCACCATGACGTGGGAGGAGCAGGTGGAGAAGGCCTTGCGCTTGCCGGCAGCGGAGCGGATTTTGAGGATAGAGGAGACAATGTAGACGTAGGAGAGGAGGGTGAGGAGGAAGCAGCCCAGGCCCAGGAACATGTCGGTCACCAGGGCCAAGATCTGGTTGCTGCCAGTGTCACTGCAGGAGAGCTGAAGCAGCGGGGGCAGCTCACAGAAGAAGTGGTTGATGATGTTGGGCCCGCAGAAGGACAAGCGGAGCAAGGAGAGGGTATGCGGCAGCGAGACAAGGAAGCCCGAGGCCCACACGCTGACTGCCACGCGGCAGCAGGTCTTCCAGCTCATGAGGAGGGAGTAGCGCAGGGGGTGGCAGATGGCCACGTAGCGGTCGAAAGCCATGCTGGTCAGCAGCAGCAGCTCCGTGGCCAGGAAGGCGGTGAAGAAGTACATCTGTGCCAGGCAGCCTTGGAAGGAGATGCCCTTGGTCCGGGCCAGCAGGTTCCTCAGCAGCTGGGGTACGACGGAGGTCACGCAGCCGAGGTCCAGCAGGGAGAGGTTGAGCAGGAAGAAGTACATGGGGGTGTGGAGGCCTGGCTGCGTGCAGATGACCGTGATGATGGAGACGTTCCCCAGCAGGGCCAAGGTGTAGGCGGAGGCGAAGGCAACAAACAGGATCAGCTGCACCTGCGGGTGCTCAGAGAAACCCAGTAAAATAAATTCGGCCACTGCTGTTTGGTTCCCTGCATCTGCCATCGGAGAATCGGGATCCCGCAGAGCCAGACAATCAGATTGAGCGGGCGATGGATTTTGGCCAAGGGACGGGATAACTCCCGGGGTGTCACTTCCCGCTGGTGAGAGAGGCAATTGGAGCTGCATCAGCACATGCTCTTCCCGTTGCCCTGCAGAGCTAAGGGCACAACCCAGGGCGTTAGATGGGAGTGCGGAACATACACACAGCACGGGCTGGCGCGGGTCGCAAAACTCACTGCACGGCTGCTCCTCCCCGGCACAATGCAGCACCCCGGGCACAGCAAGATCATACGATACGATTCCATGTGCCAAAGCCGGGTTGGACGCAATGACACTGACCTGGGCTGGACGTGCTGGAGCCTTTCTTTAAAAGCACATGTTTAACAAGGGGCCTAAGGAAGCAAGAGGTCTAAGCACCACGGCATGTCACTGAGCTCAGAGCCATCAGACCCCTGCGGGGCCGAGTACCACTGTCACAATGAATGCAAACGGTGCGGTGCCCATCCCTTCATGCTCTCAGACGCTACTGGAAGGCTTTCCAGAAGGTAGATGTTAGCCATACACACGTTCTAGGTTCAAGATGGGGTATAACTGGGCAGGATTTAAGAGCCTGTGATAAAGAGGAAGTCAAATTACGTAATCTAGTGATCCCTCCTGGCCTTACCTCTATAGAATCATAGACCACTAGGGCTACGTCTAGACTGGCCCACCAGAGAATTAAAAAAAACATGCCCGCCGCTTTTTTTCCGGCTTGGGGAAAAGCCGGAAAAAAAGCGTCTAGACTGGCGCGATCCTCCGGAATAAAGCCCTTTTCCGGAGGATCTCTTATTCCTACCTTCAGGAATAAGAGATCCTCCAGAAAAGGGCTTCATTCCGGAGGATCGCGCCAGTCTAGACGCTTTTTTTCCGGCTTTTCCCCAAGCCGGAAAAAAAGCGGTGGGCATGTTTATTTAAATCCACGGGGGATATTTAAATCCCCCGCGGATTTCCCTATGCTGACTTACCTGATTTGCATCCCTTTTCCGGAATTTGTGGCCGGTCTAGACGTAGCCTAGGACTGGAAGGGACCTCGAGAGGTCATAGAGTCCAGTCCCCTGCCCTTGTGGCAGGACGAAATACTGTCTAGAACATCCCTGATAGACTTTTATCTAACCTACTCTTAAACATCGCCAGAGATGGAGATTCCACAACCTCCCTGAGCAATTTATTCCAGTGTTTGACCACCCTGACAGTTAGAAACTTTTTCCTAACATCCAGCCTAAACCTCTCTTGCTGCTTTTTAAGCCCATTGCTTCTTGTTCTATCCTCAGAGGCCAAAATGAACAAGTTTTCTCCCTCTTCATTATGATACCCTTTTAGATACCTGGAAACTGCTATCATGTCCCCCCTTTTCTTTTCTAAACTAAACAAGCTCAATTCTTTCAGTCTTCCTTCAGAGGTCATGTTCTCTAGACCTTTAATCATTCTTGTTGCTCTTCTCTGGACCCTCTCCAATTTCTCCACATCTTTCTTGAAATGTGGTGCCCAGAACTGGACACAATACTCCAACTAAGGCCTAACCAGCGCAGAGTACAGCAGAAGAATGACTTCTCGTGTCTTGCTTACAACACACCTATGAACAATAAGAACAAGATAGATAGATAGATAGATAGATAGATAGATAGATAGATAGATAGATAGATAGATAGATGTCTTTGAGGCACAGTCTCTCATGGCCTGGTACTCACCATCACATGAAAGGCATTGCCAAGTTCACCCATGCACCGAGTGGCGCAAGTCTCAGAGCCTGGTTGGGCTCCTGGGGACTGTCCTATGGTGCTGAGCCCCTTTGGAAAAGCGGATGCCCTTGCTGGACCATAGATAGATAGATAGATAGATAGATAGATAGATGTCTTTGAGGCACAGTCTCTCATGGCCTGGTACTCACCATCACATGAAAGGCATTGCCAAGTTCACCCATGCACCGAGTGGCGCAAGTCTCAGAGCCTGGTTGGGCTCCTGGGGACTGTCCTATGGTGCTGAGCCCCTTTGGAAAAGCGGATGCCCTTGCTGGACCAGCAGGAATGCTTGAGTTCTATTGTTGGTTCTCCCAGTGGCCTTTGTGTGCCCGTGGACAAGTCATTTCCTGCATTTGTGCTTCAGTTTCCCCGTAGTAGAATTAAGGTCATGGTGTGGTCCCACCTTTCTAAAGAGCTTTATAAGATGTACTGGCAGCAGTGCAGTTTTTTCCTCAAACATAATTTGAAACAAAAATGACTTTTTTATCAATGATTTGCTGGAAAATTTGTCAGTTACGTTTTTCTGGGTTTGGCCAATTTTTCAGTTTTGTAACATGATTTTTTAATGAGAAGCTGGAAAATTTCACTGAAAACACCATATTTTGAACAATAGTGAATTATTCTTGGGTTATTTTTTTCTTTAGACCAGGGAAAAAGAAGGAATTTTTTCACAGGAAATTTCAACAAAAGTGAAAAGTTCTCAGAATTTCCAGCAAAATATAATCAGCTGTTTTGAAGTAGCTCCACTCAGCATGGAGCTCAGCTCATTTTTTTACGAAATTTCCTATGAAAGAATTCCTTCTATCCCCCCGTCTAAAGAAAAAATATTACTTACAAAATTCACTGATGTTGACAATATGTAGGTGGTGTCAGTAACATTTTTCAGCTGAACATTTTACCAAAACCAGATTTTTTACCAACAAATTTTCCTGCAAAATAACTGATGAAAAAGTCATTTTTTCTCCAAATTGTGTTAGATGGAAATTCATGACCAGCTTTAATGCTGAGGCTGAATCAGAGCCCAGCAGCAGCCAAGAGCCTAAGGGAATTTGGCACCTACTTGCAAAGGGACTTTGGATTGTCTTTGCTACTTTTGAAAAGTCCAGGTTACACTTCCAGCTCAGAAAGGAAAGCAGACCTCCACAATTAGATTTAAATGGTTCAATATCATTAACAGTAGATATTATGAATATCAGATACACAACAATGAGTAGCTATTAATAATCAGTAATAGAATCACTCAAGCTTATATAACACTACATTTTATCTGGCCCCTTAGCACACCACAGGTAAGGATCAGAACCAAATAAATCTCGGAAGCCTTGAGTCTCTTAGAGAATCATAGAACACTAGAACGGGAAGGGACCTCGAGAGGTCATTGAGTCCAGTCCCCTGCCCTCACAGTGGGACCAAGCACCATCTAGCTCATCCCTGGCAGGTGTCTGACCAACCTGCTCTTAAATATCTCCAGTGATGGAGATTCCGCAACCTCCCCAGGCAATTTATTCCAGTGTTTAACCACCCTGACAGGCAGGAAGTTTTTCCTAATGTCCAGCCTAAGCCTCCCTTGCTGCAGTTTAAGCCCATTGCTTCCTGTCCTGTCCTCAGAGGTCCAAGAGAACAATTTTTCTCCCTCTTTCTTGTAACACCCTTTTGGATTTCTGAACACCGCTCTCATGGCCCCTCAGTCTTCTCCTTTCCAGACTAAACAAACCCAATTCCTTCAGTCTTTCCTTCTAGATAGGGTTACCATAATTGAACTTTCAAAAAAGAGGACACCCCAGAGAGGGAGCGTACCTATATCAGTATCTACCAACTCATGTTGTGTTCATGTGTTATATATTATACTTCAGAGGTCATGTTTTCTAGGCCTTTAATCATTTTCTAGACCTTTCATCATCCAGCGCCAATCCTCATTTTTGCTGGAATTTGTCACTACACGTTGCCTTGGGTTGCCAAAAACAAAATATGAACCAGTTTTTATTTTTTGCAACATTATGACCAAAAAAAAAAAAAAGGTTTTCTGGAAAAAAAAATCCATTAAATTGAAAAGCCATTTTCCAATACACAAACATCCTCCTATGAGGGGAAAACATCAACCATGCCTTATTGTATGATAAAGGGATTGCAACTCTTCCTTCGCGAACACAGTTACTGCTATATAATGGTGCTTTATAGCACTGCAATATGGACTGTTATGGCCACGAAGGGCTCAGCAAGAGAGACTCAGCTTTTGCCACAGAAGGGAGATGCAGTTCAGCTGTGAGGAAATACTTGCTAACTCTGGGGGTAGTTAAGCTCTGGGACAGGTTAGCTCGGGAGACTGTGGAATCCTTGTTGTTTGGGGTTTCAGGAGCAGGAGAGACACCTGCCAGGAACAGTCTAAGTCCTGCTTCAGTTTGGGGGGCTTGGACAAAATGACCTCTCGTGGTCCCTCCCGCCCCTCCATTTCTACAATGCTAGGACAACAAGCCCTTTGGACCGTGCTGAGGGAGAGGCAGGTGAACCTCGCGCTCAGCAAGCAGGTGAGGGCGTGGGGAATCCAGGGTTGGGTCCCTGTTCCTCATGAGTTAAGGCAGGATTCCTGTTTAGCCAAAGGACAGACTGAACATCCATTTCCTACCGTCCCAGCTCCTCCCTGAGCACCCCGCTACGGAATCTCCCTTTCTCAGATGAGCAGAGTGGAGAAACAAGGGGGAACCTCGCAATTCACAACAGCAAAAGTTGCAGACTAACCTGGCCCCCCCCTTAGACTCGCTTTCTTTGTGCCCCGCAACCAAAACCACTTCCAGAAGAAACTCCCGTGGAGTCGGATATGTCTGGGCAAAGCTGCATGCGGTTCAAACACCAGTCCTAGGAATAAGCTGCACTTAGTTTATCTAAATCTGCACTGGGGTTGGTCCTGCATAACCATACTGAGAAAACCCACGGCCCAGAGTGACACTGGTAGAAAGTCCGTGATACCCTTGGTCTGACTCTACGCTCTACAAGTCCCACTTGAAATACGGGGTTCAGAGTCAGTGCAGGGCTGCTTAAACCAGCCGCAGAGCCAGCGGTGTGTCCAGGTCAGTATTTTTCTGAGCCCTGTAACCCCAGCCCTTGGGAACTCCAGTCTAAAATGCATTGCCCCTAGTGAGAAGCCGGGATTTACACCTGCTGAGACAAGGCCAGATTTTTCCATGGGTATTTAGGTGCCTAAACTCAGCTAGAGAACGAGTGGGATTT